GTCCATTATTATCTATGACCTCTTGCCATTTTACAGGTAGCTTCGTAATTCCATCGGTGTAGAACTTCTGTGGTTTATTGTCAAAAACCTTGGCCAAGTGATTTTCAGTGACTCTTCGGTCGGCCAATTCTTTACTATCAAGAGAGTACTGAAGAGATCAAAACAAATGGTAGTCAGACGGTGCAAGGTCCGGATCAAACATTCCCAACCAAGTTCCGTCAATTTGTTCCGTTTACAAGATGTGTGTGGCCGCGCATTGTCATGATGGAACACAACTCCCTTTCTGTTGGCCGATTCCGGTCTATCTTTCTGCATTGCTTCGTTCAAACGGTCGAGTTGTGCACAGTACAGGGCCGAATTGATGGTTTCGCCAGGTTGCAGCAGCTCATAATGGGCGATTCCGAATTCTTTGAAATCAAAGTTTCCGGAGCACACGTTCGTTTGAGACAATCGGGTAAGTATTGCCTGATATCTAGGCGTCAACACCACCTACTGGCAAAAATCTGCGGAGACATTTTATATGACCCAATACATTGTAAGGATTATGTTCATTTTTCTAGCAGTTAATTTTTAGTTTAAAGTTACTTTCCTATCTTCCTGAATTTCAGCTTACAACTTCTGGCCAGAACGTTTTTTCAGAATCGCGTTTGAATGCAAATGAGGAGAAGTATTTAATTGTGAAGTTCTACTGATTTCTTGAGAGAGCCAGAGATTCTGACTAGCACGCATTCTCCTTTTCAGGCTACTCTCTCTCTCTCTTAGGATATTATTACACTCGGCCGTACTTTAGGGCGTTAATAGCTTCGCCGTTGATTAGAATTAAGGCGCCAACTCTGTTAGAACCTTGATTGCTTCGACTATATCTTTTTAGTTAGATTAATCAAGTTTAATTTCTTAGTTTCCTGAGTTCAAGCCCGAGTGGAAGCTTTATTGTAACTCCAAAAAAAGTGTCTTCTGCTAAACTTTATTCGGAGGGGGTGTTAAACTTTAAACTGGCTCACGAACTCAAGCAATCATTCGCTTAGCAGTTCTTAAGTTTCTTCAACTTTAATTGTAACTTAAAAGTACACAGGTTGGAATCTTACAACATTTAACCCTTTGTTGCATCATGTCCACTGGTAGACAAAAGTTTAAATTTGTTTATTCTTCTATAAATGCCTTAACATATTCCATTGCTGTATTTATTCATTCTATATTATTAGAACTTTCAACTGTCGATCCTAGATGGCTGTATAGCATCACTAAGTAAAGCATTGCTATTTGGAAAATCGCTGTTACTTCTGTTTCCGAGTTAGTACCATTTCTCATAGTAAACATTATATAATGTTGCTCACATTTTCTTATACTGCCATTTTTCATTCATAATTAGTTATTTTAGACATTTTATTTTAAATGTCAGTTTGAGAAAATTGTGGAGTGGGTAGATAAAGATCTACCGAAAAGAGTGAATTGAAACCCAAATGGACTGCTTATCGAGCCAAAACACCACTGGAAATGTTTATGTTTGGCAAGGAATTTCTAGAACATTGGACATTTGAATCCAATAGGTACAGGTTACAAAATTGTAGCAAAATGAATTCAATCACAATCGACGAAATTAAGGTATTTTGGGGATCTGTGTGTACATGTCAGTTGTAGGTTTACCGTTTAGAAGATGGTAACTGATCATTGCCAACAAGGCAGGAAAGGATTTCCAATGCAGTGACCGTAAATCGTTGGGAAGAGATTTGTATGCATGTACGTATATGCATGCTGTCCACTGTAGTGAACAAACTGTAGTAATTATTTAAAACAAAATTTGAATAAAATTAAATGTTTTTATTACTACTAAGATTATTTTAAGTAGAAAAAATACAAACCTTTTCGTTTAACTTTTCTAGATTATTTGTATGCAATAAAGGGTTAAAGATGAAACCTTACTATTTCTTGGAACTGGTCATTTCGACAGCAAGCACTTCATTCCATATTGAAACTCAGAATATTGTGCACTTTTGACTAAAACTTTTATCTCATTCTGTAATCCAGAAGCGAATTTCTCTTCTTAATGTCTACTATTTTTCAAAAGCAACACCACGTAGTAAGTCAAATCAATTTACTAAATGGCGAATACTTTTTGCTGAATTCGATCTCAAAAGAATTTTTACCTGTGGCTGTTGAGTTTATCACAACTCATTTTGAAAGTTCAAGCTTTTATTTATCTTCGAATTATTTTACTGCTTCTGCGAGTTTAGGCAAAGAATTGATACTATGCAATAACCATCTAGACCCATGACACCACATATCACTGTTTCGTTAGTTCAGCTAAAGTTATTCCTTTCATAGCTTTTATCTTCGTAATTCTCATTTAGAGTTTCATTCTCATTTAGAATGTCATTTAGAGTTTCATCACCACGACAATAATTCCAGGACTCAGGTGACGTTTTCTATCGTATTGATATTACTCGATGTCGCATGAATGGCTTCCATTCATTCAAATCGTCCATTATCCGAATCAATTGGAACCGAACCCCATTCGGATAATCAAAAATTCGGATAATTGAATTTTTTCAGAAGAAAGGGTATACGTACACTTTCGTCGAAATTAATTACTGTATATGCTGTATATTGAAAATGGAAGAAAAAAAACTATTTTTAAAGAAAAAGAGGTTTTATTTACCGTATTTGCCGGCGTATAAGACGCACCCCATTTTTTATGCACATTTTTAAAGGATAAAACTTTATTACTGATCCTTATAATGAATTTGCAGTATTTTAAATATAAAGTAATGCAAAGTAATACTTTCGGAAAATACCGAATCTATCGGGGGAAAGAATACCTTTTAATCTTTTTCGTCAAAATCCAGACACTCATCTCCAGAGGTATCGGGTTGTCCTGAAAATAATGTAGGTTTTTGCAATTGTTTATATTTCCTGTACATTTTTAGCAACGAAAGTATTTTGAATTAAATTGGTTTATATATCATTTTGAAGCCCTATTTTCGCTCTATTTGTCTATAATAATCGTTTTGTTCCAAAATAATTTAAAAAAATATTTATTAGTTTTTTTTTTTTTTTTTTTTGTTTTTTGTTTTTTTGTTTAGATGTCAAAACGGGCAAATTTAATTTTATGAGTAGAAGCTAGGCCACAAAGCAACACAAACGGCTCGAAATGTCAACGAAATATGGGGCAAGAAAGAATGTTAATGAATCTACAGTTCAACGGTGGTACCAAAAGTTGCACTGTGGAGAATTTGACTTGGAAGATCAAGAGCATCTTGGACGTTTTTCAGCTGGTGATGATGACGATTTGAAGACTTTAGCTGAAACAAAACCGTTCAAGAGCTTGCGGAGGAGCTTGGCATAAGTAAAACAACGATTTCTGATCACTTGAATTGTATAGGAAAGTCAAAGAAGCTCGATATGTGGGTGCCTCACGAATTGAGTGAAAATTTTTAAAAAATCGCCGTTTTGAAGTGTCTTCTGCTCTTCTTCTCCGCAACAAAAACGACCTTTTTTTTTTTTGATTGAATTGTTATGCGCGATGAAAATTAGATTCTCTATAACAACCGGCGACATTCGGCTCAGCGGTTGGATCGCGATCAGACAACACAACAGTTTCCAAAGCCAAATTTTCACCAAAAGAAAATCATGGTGATTGTTTGGTGGTCTGCGGCCGGTCTCATCTACTTAAATCTGGACGAAACGATTACGGCAGATAAGTACTGTAAGCAAATCGACGAAAGGAACCAAAAATTGCATTGGTCAACAAAAAGTGGCCAGTTCTTCTCCACGACGATGCTCGGTCGCACGTCGTGCAACTGACCCTACAAAAATTAAACGAATTGGGATACGAGACTCTCTCTTTTCCCCCATATTGTCCTGACCTCTCGCCAAATGATTACCACTTTTTCAAACATCTGGATAACATTCTGCAGAAGAAATGCTTCAGAAACCAAGACGAGGCCAAAAACGCCTTTGACAACTTTATCGCGTCCAAGACTCTAGAATTTTATTCTACCGGCTTAAATAAACTTATATCTCGTTGGCAAAAATGCATTGATTCGGCTGCTGCTTATTTTGATTAATAAAATTGTTTTGAAGTTGAGTTATGGATACTTTAAAGATATAGGTTAAAACTTGCATTATTTTTCGGACAACCTAATAAATGAAGAGTCACTTGAGATTTCTTCTAAATCAGCTTCTGAGTCCTCATACAACACATTGTCCTCTGTACCATCCACTGCATTACTAATGCCACACTTCTTAAATGATTTAACCACGGTCTCTGTTTTCACAGCTCCCATGAAGCTCGGACCCATTCACAAGGAAACTTTGCAAGGAAACAAGAAATCGTTTAGTTTTTTAATCAAAAATTCGGTGAAGTGTTAAAAAATACGAAATAGATAATAAACCAAATTCCAAAGTTCAAATTTGGGCTTAGAGATGCCCATTTTCGCAGTAGGATTACATCATTCAAAATTGGATGGCTCTAGGTACCGTTGTTTTATCACAATGCGAGAAACATGCATACATTTATGCAAATTCTTCATTATTTAATTTCTTCGAATATAATACAGGGCGATAATATTCGGTAGCAACAGTTTGAAAAATGATACAGAGTTTTAAAGATTTCGACGCAAAATGCCAAAATGAAAACAATAGTCCATGAACAAAGCCCTTTTGAACTAATAAATTCCATAAACGTTTTTTTAAAAAAGCTTTAAATATTTAAATCATTACCACTATGCTCTAATACTTATTGTTATAACTTTATTGCCTAGTTAATGTGAAATATCAAGTAGGAAACTTTTATAATTCGATTAAGGGTAAGGCCTTGTTGCCGTGGTACGTAGCTGTTACACCGTGGTACTCAGCTGTTACATTCAACAGGAGGTAGAACTGGCTGATAAGGCATATAATAAATTCTCTGTTGATTACCCTATAATACTGTGTTCTGATAACCTCTTGTATTCATTGTATGGAAGTTTCATTATAACCACGTACACCATTTTTAATTGTAGGTGGATCTAAGCAAAATGCAGATGATGAAGCCATTCTTTGGTCAGCTCAGACGCTTCTACAGTCCAGCCTTTTGGTGCCAAATCCGAAAATCGCGCAATCAAACTTATGCTCATCTCAGAATCCATAGATTCCAGGTAAGTGCTGCGAATCCAATATACTCTTGAAGCAAAATTGGAACTGGTAAGTGCAATACAAGGTCTCTCTTGAAAGTAATGCGTGCCATTTTCTTCTGTCGCATTGCCGCTTGCACAGAAGGGTTGGGGCGATTTTTGGCGGTACATGGATACCGAGTTTGTGCAAGTCTTTAACTTGTTATACTGGCTTTGTCTAGCGGCGATTTTAGCGTCAAAAATTAAGTCAAAGGAGCACCCAATTCTAGATAAAAATATGTAGAGATATTAGGATCTTTTCGAAGCCGGTGAGATGAAAAATGAGCTATCGCCTTCTCCGGGAATCGAACCACGGACCTCTGGAATACCCGGTCCAGCGTGCAGAACCACTACACCACGAAGGAAGGCCAGGAAAGTGGGAGAAACATCTTATATGTTCAACTAATCAGGTTACCATAAATGAAACAACAAATTGGCGATAAATGAAACAACAACTTCGCGATAATACAAGGGGTACCCTTCTGTCTACTCTAACTGTCAAGACATATTTTTCTTGACACGACTGTATTATATCTTGCCGTATTATATTGATTTAAATTAGTAACTCTGTTGAGTTTAATAATTTAATTTAATTTAATAAGCATTTTATGTAAAATAATATATAAGATGTTTTTGTGCAATATTTTATACAAATACATCGTTACACATGACATATTCATTTTAATAGAGTAAGGTGCCGACAAGATTCCAGAGTGATTCCGTTTTCCATTCAGATTTCGTAAAAATATAAATTTCCTACTTGTATGAGTGATTTCTCTGGACTAGCCGATTAAAATTTCAAGAAGGTTTGACGAATCATGTAAATCTTGTAACTGTATAGTTTTAAAATCGATAATATAACTTGTGTTATATCAAAAGTTTAATTATTAAGCTAAACAAATTTAATACAAGTATAATAGAGCAAGATATAATACCGTCATGTAAAGAAAATATGTCATGATGGCGAAATGGTCACGGTGAAATGGCGACGGCGAAAAGTCCTAGACGCTGGGTGGAGTCTTTGGAACACAGCGCGACCAGCGCCAGTCGGCTCCGAGCTCCTGAAGAGTCGCAGTTCACAAGAGAGTCACACAAGAGTCGAGTGAAACAGTGAGTGTTTGGTCGAAATCAAGATGGAAAAAACTCTCGAGCAGCGATACGGAAAACGTTTTATTTCAAACTTGAGAAAACGCTTTCGGAGGCGTTTGAATGGAGAATAAAAAAGATATTTGATTGTCGGAGATTAAAAAATCCCTCAAAGGACAGCATTTGGGGATCTTGCAAAACATCAAGATAGCTACGACGTGGTTCCTAAAGAACATCCATTTGAAGGACTTCTTGGACGCATATAAAGCATGGAAACCTTGTTGGAACAAGTGTGTTAAAGCAGAAAGGATGTATTTCGAAGATTATTGAGCGCGCATATAAAGCATGGAAACCTTGTTCTTGTTGGAACAAGTGTGTTAAAGCAGGAAGGATGTATTTCGGAGAATATTGAGTCTAATCTGTTCAATAAATTTCTTAAGAGGTATCAAAAACCCCTATACCGACAATGTTAAATTGGCCATTTTCGATGTAGCTTTTCTCAAAATCTGCTATAGATACACGCTTGAAATTGTTTATGTGATTAAAGTATTGCTAGTTGATTTTTAAATGATAGAGTAATTTACAGAATATTTTGTTAGGCATAGCAAAATTTAGCTCTTTTCTCACACAATTTTTTAATTTTTTTTTATCTTAGTTTATCATAAAAAGTTTGTTTTAGGAAATATTAGGAAACCTAATAAATAAGCCATAAAAATTTTAGATACCTGTGAACAGTAGTTCCTGAGAAAAGGTACATCGAGTATTAAAAAATCACGTTTGGAGAAAAATTCGTTTTTATGTAAAAATCCTCATCTATCAAAGCATTCGATGACAAATTAAAATTAGATTTTTTACAGTTCTAATTTTCATAGGGATTAAAGAATGATATTTTAGAAAGATATAAGTGCAGAGAATCTGAAAATGCAAAAATCTGAGATCACCATTTTTTGAAGATTTCTAGGTTCCATTACCCCTTAAAAAAATGGGTGCATTACTTTCGGGCAGACCTTGTACGTTGCATATTAATAATAATATTACTGAATATGTTACATACTAATCCTCCAATTCTCTGAAAAAATCGAATTAATATTTTCAGGACAACTATTTCCTCTTACTGACTTTGCGAACATGCTGGAGTCCTGAGTAGAACAGGAAGTTTACTTAAAACTAAAATAGCAAAATTAAGTAAGAACTAAACTCATATGCTTTGCAAAGACTAGTAACGCGAAGACTGGCCTTTTAATCTTTACGTATGTTACGTTAATCTTTACATATGTAGTACGCAGAATGCGGGAAAACTACAATACGTCCTCAGTATCGAGAGGACAATATTCTGCCCTTAAAGGCGGACAGCAACTAACTGAAAAGCACGCGTGAGGTAAGGTAGCGAGAAGTCCTCTCCCTCTAACTCCTTCTTGGCTAAAAGCCACAACTTAAATACTTAACAGTTTGCAAGCTCAGTTTGCATAACTAAAACTAACCGCGTTTATTCTAGTCGGAAGTGGAAAACAAGAGAGACAGTAAAGATTTAAAATAAAATAAACGTTAGTAAAACTTAAAATCGTTACAATATGACTAAAGAACGTGCTCGTGTCCTGCCCAACGTTCTACTGATCAGTCTGAGTTCATTCAAGTTATAAGGTATTTCTCCCACCTTCTTGGCATACCTTCGTGGTGTGGTGGTCTGCACGCTCAGCGCGTAATTGAGATATCCGTGGTTCGATTCCCGGCGAAGGCGTTACTAATTTTTCATCTTGCCTGCTTCCAAAAATACTTAATGTCTCTATAGTGGCGCCCAAATTAAAAGGGTATTGGATGAGGACTCCGCACATCCAGGATTTAGCGATTGGGTCCCCTAAAAACCCCAGTCGTCCTTTAAAAAGAGAGTATATAAAGTATCTCTCTCGCTTTCCTAGTGTGCCTTCATGGTGTAGTGGTTCTGTACGCTGGGCCGGTATTGCAAAGATCCGTGGTTCAATTCCCGACGAAGGCGTTTGCTCATTTTTCACCTCTCCGGCTTTTCCAATTAACCTAATGTCTCTACAGTGGCGCCCGAACTAAAAGGGTGTTAAATGAAGATTCTCCTTACCCAGGATTTGGCGAGTGGGCCCCCTAAAAACCGCAGTCGCCGTTTAAAAGGGGAAGTGTATAAGGTATTCTCCCACCTTCTTGGCATGCCTTCATGGTGTGGTGGTTTGCACGCCCAGTGCGTAATTAAGAGATCCGTGGTTCGATTCTTTGAAAAGGCGTTGCTAATTCTTCATCTTGCCTGCTTTAAAAAATAACTAATGTTTCTACAACGTTAAAATCATTTTTTTATCTTTTCGCTCTTCTTCTTTTCTATCATCGCCTTTTCAAATAGCATGAACCAAGATGCTGATGGTACTGCTTCCTCTGAAAATATTAACTAAACCAAACAGTAACTAAGGTAGGCAAGTTCATTCATTTCATAATATCCTAAACCTAACTTCAAAACAATTCGTAGAATGCCAATCATAAAACTAGATATAAATGATAAAGCTTATAGCTAATGATAAAGCATTCTATTGAGAGTGTTGTTGGAATTTGAAAATTCACGATTTCAGACTAAAATTTTCCCACCTGTTTTCCAAAACTCAGGTCTTAAAACATAGAATTTCATTTAAAATTGCTTTACGATTCACTGCCGTTCGCAGCCTCTGAAGGTAGAATAGATCTGGACTCTTTTCTCAATTTACATCCCAAATATAAATAATACTGACAATGTAGGCTGTGCAAAAAAAAAAAAAAAAAAAAAAAAAAAAAAAAAAAAAAAAACCGAAATTATAAATTACGCCCAAAGGGGCGTTTGTTTTTTTTAACGTTTTGTGTGTTACCTTATTTATTAAACATCATGTTCTACATATTCAAACTATAGAAATCAGTTCAATAGCAATATCGCAAATTAATTTTAAAATGAGCCTATCTTTAGAATTTCCGATACACAGTCTCTAGCGCAGGACAATTTTTTTTTCCTCGTACAGTGTTGGCGTTGCTCTCTTTGAAATCGTTAATTTTTTTAGTAAAAAAATTGGTTGAAGTGTTACAAAATCTGAAATCGGTAATAAAATAAATTTCAAATTCAAATTAGGGCTTCCGCATGCCCATATTCTATGGAAGATTACGTTCTTTAAATTTTGATGGCTGTAAGTACCGTTGTTTTATCACAATGTAAGAAACATACATACATTAATGCTGATTCTTCATTATTTAATTTCTTTAAATATAAGACAGGGCGAACTTCTTTAAATATAAGACAGTATTTTGTGGTAACCACTTGAAAAGTGAAGTTTAAAAGTTTTCGACGCAAAATACCAAAACGAAATTAATAGTCCTTCAAGGCAAATTGCTCCCTTTGGACTAAAAAATGGCAATGGCAACACTGTACGTGGGAAAAAAATTGTATCTCCAGCGCGCCTAACCGTGTATCAGAAATTCTAAATCTATGCTCATTTAAAAATTAGTTTGTGATATTGCTGTTGAACTGAAGTTTATGGTTTAAGCGCAAAGAAAATTATATTTAATAAATAAAGGTAACGCACAAAATGTTAAATAAACGCCCCTTTGGGCGTAATGTAAAATCTGAAAGCTTTCATACTTCCCCCCCCCCGATTTTAGTCAACCATTTAAAATTAGGTAAAAAAGCAACCTTACTTTGGCTTAGAAAATGAATAACTCTGTCGATTTTGAGGGCAATTCAAAATACAAGTCCGTCTTCTTGAGAAGGAAAAATATTTTTTCAAAATTTTCCCCCCGGCTTAAAAAAAAAAAAAAAAAAAAAAAAAAAAAAAAAAAGGTTCCTTTGAAAAAACCAATACCAGACAAAAGTCGCTTTCTTGCTAATTTTAAATTTTACATTTCTGTGTTCTCTTGTACTGGATGAAGGATGCCCTCCAATTATTATGATTAAGGGTACAACATCAGTCAAATAAATTGTTAATTAAATAATAAATAAGTCAAATAATCAGTCAAATAATTAAATATTAATAATAATAATCGATCCTTCGTAAATCATATGTTGCGTTAAGGACACAATGAGGAATTCATAAGCAGATTCTTGCATTGTCCTTATTAAAATGTCTTGAAATTAGTTACAGCGGAACCTCGAGATACGAGCTCCTTTGTATACGAGAAATTCGAGATACGAAGAAAGTATGAGCAAAATATTCCTCTCTAAATACGAGTCTTGACTCGAAGAACCAGCAACGAGCCAGGCTCTTGGTATGCGTAATGCGTTCCCCAATCGGGAAATCCTCTCGTCAGATTACTCAGTGTACGTTGATCCACAACTTTGTGCGCTTGTGAGTTAATTGTTTTTTACATTTAAAGTGAAAATAATTATTCCACGATGCCTCCCAAGAAGATGGTTGGCTCAGATAGCGCTCCAAAGCAAATGAAGGAAGCCATATGACCATTGAAATTAAGAAATCATAGATAAACATAAGCAAGGTGTAAGAGCGACGGAATTGGCGAAGGCTTACGGCCTTTTCATATCGACGATCTGCACTATTCTGGAGTAGAAGTAAGAAATTAAGAAACTTGATGTGGCCAAAGGAGTTCTGAGGCCCGATACACAAACTCATCACTCTGCCGCCAAAGGAGTTACCGTTATTTCCAAGCACCGTCCAAAACTCCTAGAAAATGATGAGAAGCTGCTGTTGGTGTGGATTAATGAGAAGCAAATAAAAGGCGATTCGGTGTCGGGAGCTATTATTTGCGCTAGGGCTAATAATCTGTACTGGACCACCTCCGAAGTCTGGACCACCTCCGAAAAACACCAAGTACGTCGACTGAAGATGAAATGGCAATGAGATTTTTTGGAGTGCGGAACGGATTAACTGGATTTCCATTATTTTCAATGGGGAAGTTTGTTTCTAGATATGAGAAATTCGCTATATGAGCTTAATGCTGGAACGAATGAAATGCGTAACTCGAGGTTCCGCTGTATTTATGTTTCTTGTTGTATATATTAAAATTGGTTAAATTTCATTACTGTTATGATGGATATTTTGTTATAATTCGGTTAATGTTGCCAAAAACATAATTCACAAGTGCACATTAGTATGGCCACTGAGGGAGGGGTTTGAATTACGAACACAAGAGTTTCTACTGCTCTTGTGACGCATTGAAAGTGTGGATGCCACCGTAGTTATTTTGCCTTTGTTTCGCAGTTATATATGTACAGCGTATAAATGCTGCTTCCATTTTAGTAGAAATTCTCGAAATGCTCTCATTTTATACGTTTATTTAATCGTTAACATTTCTCTTTAGTGAAACTTATCACGCACTGATATTCGGATTAATGTTCGTAGCATATTAGCGTCTTTTTTATCGAGATACAATTAGCCTCGAATATTATTCGTTTACTAATACCTGTGGAGTAAGAGAATTCATACGTACGTTTTTTTTTTTTTTTTTTTTTTTTTTTTATTATTATTGAGATCAGAGTAATTGAAAGTGTTTCAATGAATTTAGTATTTTATCTTAACCACTTGCCTCGACTAAACTTCCTGTTGCGGTGCGTGCCTACAATATAACTAGCGGTAAAGTGTCTATTTACGCCGCTCCGCTTGCGAGTGCAATCCAGAGCTATAACTCGAGACTAAACAATCTCTTTATTAGGCGACGTGTGCACCACTATTTAATTTTGCGATAAATCCTACGACGTGGGTTCACCTCGCTCGCGGTTTGAGACAAAAGCATTTTTCCGCTTCGCGGTTTGAGACAAAAGCTTTTTAGCGCAAGTGGTTAATGCTTGCATTCCTTTGATTTTGAAAGTGTAAGATTCAAAATATATATTGTGAATGATCTGATTGTACCTATTGTAACTACATAAGTTCTTGTTACATATGAATAGATTAAAAATATTCGTTGTGAATAAGATACATCCAATTCATTTGAACAGTATTTCTTGCATAGGCGATCATTCAAGAATTTAATGTAAATTAACACACAAATTCACTTTGAATAAATGTAAATTAGGATGAATTTAATAATAAATAATAAATGTAATGAATAAATTTAATGAATTAATGAATGCTTGATTAAAATTAAATTAGGAAATTCACTTGAAAAACTGTACAGTGATTATTATAAGAACATATTTTCATATAGATTGTAAAAAAATTGCTAAGATATATTATTTACATATATATATATATATATTTCTATTAGAAATTTATTATTAGAATCTATTATTATTATTAGAATCTAATATATATCATATATATATATTATATTTTTCAAAAAATAAATTAATTAATTAAATACCATTAATTATTCTTTGCGCTTTGCTGCAAGAATGAAATTTAAAATTTTAACAAACATGTATATAGTAAAAAAGCAAATAAAGTTAAAATAATTAAAAAATGTGCAACATTAAAAGATTTAATTTTCGGACTAACTACAATATCATTTAATTCAGTGCCTCCAACCTAATATATCTAATATATATTACATATATAGATTAAAATATAAAAAATACGATGGCTTTGCTCTAGCCGAACGCACTTTATTAACTTCTGCAGTTCAGGATTTTCCCCTAGCTCATACCTTCAGAACATCAGCCTATTACATAACCTACTATAAAAACTGATGGCGCCTTTTGCGTCAGAAGCTCCTCTCCCCTCCTGTGCATCTCCGCGCTGCTTGTATCCTTCTTTATTGTTAGAAGCTATGACGCAGAAGTCAAAATTTAATCGTACTATAACTCATTATTGAAATGTAATTTTTGAGAACTTCGTCGAAAGGAAATTGATCTGCTATTTGATTAAATAAATTGTCAATTAAAAGGGAAAGTCCTTGTGTGGCTTCTGGATATCGTCTACCACTATGCTAAAACCATGCTGAACTCTGAAGTCCCGATTCTGACTGCAAAATATCAAGTTTTTTGTTATTGCGTACAAAAACTCCTTTTCAGATAGGTGTTTCCTAATATTTGAATAAAGTTGCATTTGAAGTACGACGTATCTTCAGCAGTAGCGAGCAGAACAGGGATGAAAGCTCCTGCCGCAGCAAGCTTATCGGAAAAGGCAGGCAGCAAGAATGAGGGATCGAAAGTTTCAGTCAGTTTTGATTATATTATTTATGGACAATCGGTACTGCTTAAACGCTACGTCAGATGCAACACCTGGAACTTGTAAGAAGAGTGAATTAGGGGCAGATCACAAATTTAGCATGTTATTTTTGAGGTGCCAATTATTTTTTTTTTCAAACAGCTTTATATTTTAATTTTTACATATTCCCTTCAAAAAAAGTTGGGTGAGCGAGGGAAGAACAGCATTAGAGCCGCAATGTCAAAGATAAATGTGAAAAAAAACATTTAACTTATAACAAAAATATCGTCATAAAAATTTAACGATGTTTGACTCAATTGACATTCATGAAGTCATAAAAATTTGAAGTGCATTATTTAATTTGAGCACTGTATTTTTTAACAATAGCATATTTTAGAGTTCTGAGGTAAGAATGTCCAATGACTGCCAAAATATCACATACATATACATATTTATATATGCTTAAGCTAACTTCGCTCTAAAAAGTTTCACAAGAAATCCACAATGGATTAATTATTTTATACAGAAAATTGTATGGCAAAACATTTTAAACATTTAAAAATTGTATGGCAAAACTTGCTTAAAGCACGGCAAATGTCATGCAAAAGGCCAGAAATATTGAAAGCCCATTGGTCTATTCTAGAAACCACTCCCTTGGTGGCCATACAGGTGTGCACTTACGAAATATGCTTACCGAAATAGCCTGGACAAATGTGATCACAATAGGTGACATCGACTATAGTTTCAAAGAAGTAAATATTTTTCATACACACAGTCAATCGATTACTATCTTTTATTCCATTGACAGGTGGACAATCAACTTCCAGACGCCATTTTCCCCACAGTTCTCTACCCTGGTACTACGCCCCAGTATGTAGTGCGAAGAAGTGGACCCAAGCCTTTCTTCGAAACTGCCCTTCTTCTGCACTCCTCGCGTTCCAACAAGACCCTCAAGTGAGTAAACGAAATAAATCTATATACATATATATAAAGGAAGAATCTGTCTGTGTGTGTGTGTGTGTGTGTGTGTGTCTTTCGTTAATGCTGCGCGTAAGCTAATAGACCCAAGGCCAGGAAATTTTGTACGTAGGTGCATCTAGACAAGAGCAAGTGCACGTCGAAGCGATTTTTTTCAAAATTCGATTGAGATTTTTTTTATTTTATGTTTTTTGATGAAATCGAATCAAATCGATAATTCTCTCTTATTATATCAGCACTGCTGCCACTCGGAAAAATGAGTCGATAATTGTAAAGTAAATTATGGTTCTCTTAGATACTGACGTTTGTCGAGAGAATTCAATGGGGGTTTGTTAATTTTTTATTAGGATATTAATTTTTGTATAGGGATATTGCTTAATTCATTGTAATTTTTATATGTAATACATTTGATTTATTATTTTATTTTTTATTTATTTATTTTTGATAAAGTTGTTCTGCAGAGTAAAGTTCTGTGCAGTTTTTAAATTTAATGTTTGGTTTTTAAATTTAATGTTAGGCATTTTTCCGGTACATTTAAAAGCCAGACGAAGGCTGGCCGCGTAGCGGCTGGTAATGAATGTAAAGTGGAATGGTTTAGAATGCGTTTCAGAAGATGGAAGCCTTTAGCTTGTATCATTGACTAATACCATATTTACTCTAGCACGCCCCACCCCCAGCTTCTTAACGACAGGTTCTGAAAATTTTGAAAATATTCTTTCTTCCTCATTGCATTCCGAGAAGGAGCACCTAGTAAATTTTAAAATGGATTCATCCTTTAGATAGTGATTGTTTCCGTCATATTAATAAAGTTTATCCTCGCAAACTGCCTGCAAATGTCACGCCGAACATTTCCCATCTAATACTTGAAATTTATCCAGCCTAATGCAAAAACCGACCTACCATAGCGAAGTAAGCGCTAACCGACATTCAACTTTGACTCATTTCTCTGACTCAGTTGTACGTTCACCATCTCTAATTATTTATGAATGATTTTAGTCATGAGGAATAGCAGAAACAAGAATAAGAATGGGGGGAGATTCATATGACAGGGAAGTAGAAATGCTTATTACATGTATGTTTATACTACCCTGTCTTCTTATTGGAATGTAGTTTTTTTTTAAATTTTAATTTTAATTTTTTTTAAAGAAAAAAAATATTGTGATAGTTACCTGTAGTTTATCCTGGTTTTTAAAGAAAAAATATTGCGTTAGTTACCTATAGTTTATCCAGGTTTTTTAAAGAAAAAAATTGTGATAGTTATCTGTAGTTTATCCAGGTGCTTAAAGAAAAACTATTATGATAGTTACCTGTGGTTTATCCAGATTTTTAAAGAAAAAATGTTGTAATAGTTACCTGCAGTTTATCCAGGTTCTTAAAGAAAAAATATTGCGATAGTTACCTATAGTTTATCCAAGTTTATAAAGAAAACACTTGTGATAGTTGCCTGTAGTTTACCCAGGTGTTTAAAGAAAAACCATTGTGATAGTTACCTGTAGTGTATCCAGGTTTTTTTTAATATTGCGATAGTTACCTGCAGTTTATCTAAGTTTTTCAAGAAAAAGTATTGTGATAGTTAACTGTAGTTTATCCAGGATTTTAAAGAAAAAATATTGCGATAGTTACCTGTAGTTTATTCAGGTTTTTAAAAAATATTGTGATAGTTACCCGTAGTTTATCTAGGTTTCTAAAGAAAAAAATATTGGGATAGTAACCTGTAGTTTATTTAGCTTTTAAAACAAAAACTATTTTGATAGTTACCTGTAGTTTATCCAGGGTTTTAAGGAAAAAACATTGTGATAGTTACCTGTAGTTTATCCAGGTTTTTTCAGAAAACATATTGGGATAGTTACCTGTAGTTTATCCAGGGTTTAAACAAAAAATATTGTGATAATTACCAATAGTGTATCAAGGACTCTTTTTCATTTGTTGTGTTCTTGCCTTAACCGCGATCTTCGGATATTAAATTATTTGCACAATTTTCCTTTCTTGATTTTTGAGCATTAAAGTTATTTTAAAAAATGTGGGAAAAATTATTAAAATAAATGTGAATCATGAAATTCCCCAGAATTTCAGTGTGCATCTAACTGAAAGAGATAATATAATATTATTAATGGTAACAGCACAGTAATTATTTAAATATTTTTACAGAATTACGTCTTAAGCTGTGTTAAGAAGACCTTCAGAATTTCTTAAGCTTCTTTCTTTTACATTGCTTCAGAATTTCTTCTGTTTTTCCTTTTGTGGTGCAGTAAATATAGACTCCATGTCCACAAAAGCCCTTACTAGGCCTTTATTTTTGATTCTTCCTGTTGCAAAAATGTTTTAAATGACGCAGAAATTCATGTTTTCCTATTCTTAACTTTAAAAAAAAAAGGTATATAAAATACGAAATCTCACTTTACACATTTCCTGTACTCATTGTTGCGTTCTTACGGTTTCGTGGATTTGCAGTGATTGACTACAACACTTTATGAAGAGTGAAAACGCAATTTATTAGTCAGTATTACTCAGGAAAGCTCCAAAAACACGTTTACAGTCGTCGAAAAGCACGCTGAAACAGTCAGCAACACAGCTTTCAGGCTATCAGGCTATACCTGTGAAGACAGCTTCACGACAAAGCACTCGAGTATAGCTCCCGACTCGGTTTGGCCGTTCTCGGAATTCAACGTACTCTCGAGACTTTGCACGCAGCAACTCGCGATACACTCAACTCTAGACCAACTCAACACTAGACTACTACTCTAGCAGGGTTTATATAGCTTTTGACCTGCATTCCAGCACATTTTGGGCCAAACCGGTAAGAATTCGTTCTAGAAGGTTTTCCATCTGTCTGTGGCATATCGCCAGTTTTGTCGCCAAATAGGTAATTTAGCGCCAAATCTGACAACCTTGCATCTCTTTGCCATTTTATGGCAACCCCATACTTGCCTTGCGGGGAACCTATCTCACCACTTCTGGGCATTTTGCAACATTTTTTATTGTATTTTTTATTGTATTACACGTTATAAAAAGTAAAACACAAACAGTTTGACTCCCGAACGACAAAACTGGACAGAAATATTTAATATTACATTGAGGAATCGGTTAATAAATAAATTATTATATGCCGAAGTTGATTTTTTTCTCTTAAATGGCAATCAATGATATTGCTTTTGATTTATGGTCTTAAATAATAACTCTGTTAAATTTGGTTTGCCGACAGAATTTTCACGCAAGTAATTTATAACTTCTCAAAACCTGAGGTTATGAATATTCTCAAGAAGTTTTATACTTTAGAATCATAATCTACTAATCATAAATATTTACCTCAAGTACAAATATTTTTCCTTTTAAATTAATGCAAATAAGATTACGTGTTGACTACTGCCAATATTAAAGCCTGCCAGTGTTTTCTGGAATATGATTTTTATAATTCTATAAATAAGGCAGTGAGCTAAATGATAGATTGTCATGATTTAGAATGAGGAAATGAGTAACTTTTAACAATGCTAGTATATATATGCCTAGAATGGTAATGCTAGTATATATATATTTCATGTCTTTTAACAATGCTAGTACATATGTGCCTAGAATGGTAGTGCTAGTATATACGAGGGCATTTCGAAAAGTAAAGATACACCGTACGCCAGAGGAAAAGAAAGGTTTTGGTGAGCAAGTTGGCAACACAGCTGTTAACCTGACCGTTGCTTTCTCCTCGCGGTCATCGGCATTTCACGTGATTCTGGTGGACTAGGTCGTGTTTAAAATGGTGCGCCATTAGATCTCGAAAATGCAGGACGCGCTTGTCAACGTTTTCTTCATGCAAAAGGTCGGCGCCGGCGGATATTCCAAAGACTGTTCTGTTTTGGGGACATATGAATCACAAATGTACGAAAAGGTGTCGTCATTTCTCTGAAGGTAGACCGATGTTCTGACAAGCAAGAACAGGCGGCCATTTGTGATCTCTGATGTCCTTCTTCAGAGAACAGAGAAGCAAACGTGCGAATAGAATCAGATTGAAAGAATTGCGTCAGATCATACCGGAAGTTGTCATGGCATTCTTTGAAGTTGGACTATCAAGTTAGAGTACAGGAAATTGTGTGCGCGTGGGTTCCAAAGGCGGCAACCTTCTAGAGGTGGGATACAAAAGTCGTGAACCGATTTACAAATGTTGAATAACGGAGGTGATTATGCGAAAAATAATAAATAATCAGTTAAAGATGTACTTACGTTTTCTAAATAAATGCTTTTTTAAGGAATGCGGGCCATTGTATCTTTACTTTTCGAAATGCCCTCGTATATTTCATGTCTATGCTCGTACTTTTCTCACCACTGGTAAGTTCTTTACTATCTGCAGCTGTTAGTAATTAGCAATGTGGATAAGTGACGGTGAAACCAGCAGTAGACGCCAAGGTGTTGGATGGGCACGCGTCATCAAAGAAAAAAGACATTGGAAGCTGTCCCGTTTGGTACAGCAAAATCGGCGCCAGGCAGTGGCTCAGCTGACAATCCAATACAATGTAAGTCCAAGTGCAAGTGTTTCGGAACGCATAAGTACAGCGGACGTTGTTGAGTTTTGGAAGAGGGCTGGTTTTTAACGCCTAGCAAGTACCAGACCACTGGACGTTGTTGTGTATGGGACTGCGCAGCAGATCTTCCACTCACGTTCATTTTTGGCTAAGCCTTGCCTAGACAGACTTTGCCAACGGTCACGATTTTCTTGTTTTTTTTTTTTTTTTTTCAGGGTACGCCGTCTTCTAGACGACTTCCAAACTCTGCACAGCAGGTCATACACAGGCTACTAGTGGCGGTATTATGCTTTGGGGGACGTTCTCATGTGCGTCTCTGGGCTTTCTTACTTTCGCAGATAGTCAAGAATCTGCAACACTGACATAACTGCATCTTTACATGGCGTCTGTCTTCCCAACTGGAAATGGAATCTTCAGTGGGACAACACGCCACGGTGGCATGGGCTCGAAATGTGTTGGAGTGGTCCGAACAGCATAAAGATGAATTCCAGTTAATGTCCTGGCTACTTAGTTTAGTTCTTGACTTCACCCGATAGAGCCACATTTTTGAATGCATCGACGGGAGATCAGAGTTCAAACACCACGATGTCGGAATATCTAGACTTTGCGTGGCCGCTCATTAGACATTTGGTACAACATGTTTCCAGTCACCTACCAAGACTTGGCACCAGAACTTGGCCCATACCAAGAACTTGGCCCATGCCAAGGCGAGTTGCAGCTATTTTGCAGGGAAAACGTCGCGCAAGGCGTTATTCAGTAGGTGGTATAATGGTTTGGCTCTTCAGTGTATGTTATACAGACATTAGGAATTTTTTTTTTTTTTGAAAGCAAGATGAAAAATTAACAACGCCTTCGCCGGGAATCGAACCGTGGACCTCTGGAATACGCGCCCAGAGTGCAGACCACCACACCACAAAGGCATGCCAAGAAGGCGGGAGAAATACCTTATAATGTATGCACACACACACACACATATATATGTATATATATATATATATATATATGCGCACACACGCACAAAGGCCCGCCAGAATAGTATGTTTTTTAAAGTGTAACTATCAAGTATAGTCGGCTAGAAAAGTCTTTTGGGTTCTACAGGCCTGTTTTAGACGTTCGAAATGTAGGAGAAACGTTGGGGCAATTGTATCAACTCATGTCTAATCAAAATCTTACTTTTTAGTTAGCGACTTTTTTTTATAAACTAGTCTAGAATTTTTTTTGATAGGGCTCGTTTATCATTTAAACTAGCAGTCTACTGTTTCATTACTCATACTAACTATACGTTTATTTGTGATTTAATTTCTAGATTTTGGAAAGTATTAATTCAAGAAATGCATTTGTGTCTGGACAAAGGCTTCTTAGTTTCCCTGCAAGACATGTGCGGCTATTTCAGCCAATCATCTGATGAGGTAATTTCCATTTTTTCCTGTGCTGTGTAAAGCTGTATAAGCTCTTATTTTTATTATAAACAAATTATTATTGCTTATTACTTTTCTACTCGCCCTTTCGTTTAAGATGCGCCTTAAAGTTCTTTATTGCAGAAAACCAGTGTCCTGCCCTGCCTTTAAATCCCTGTCCACACTTCAAACTATATTCAGTTAAACTTATGTCAAAGTAAATTTGAATTTTTAGCCCAAACAGCGTTAACCCAGAAGAGCTCGTTTTGGCATTTTGCGTTGAAAACTTTAAATGTTGGCTCACTTTTCAAACTGTTGCTACCAAATATTACAGCCCTGTATTCTAATTAAGGAAATTAAATAAAGAAGAATCTGAATAAATGTATGCATGTTTCTTGCATTGTGATAAAACAACGGTACCTAGAACCATCCAATTTTGAATAACTCATGTTTCCAACACCTGAATATGGGCATCTAGAAGCCCGAATTGGAATCGGTTTTATTATCTATTTCACATTTTGTAAACCTTTAACGAATTTTTGATTAACAAACTTCACGATTTCACAGCGAGCCATGGCAACACTGTACAAGAAAAAAGAAAAAACATTTTTATCTCCATCTCGGAGAACTCTAAGAACGCTCATTTAAATTATTTGTGATATTGCCGTTGAACTGAATTTTACGTTTTAAGTGCGAAGAACATGATATTTAATAAAATGAGGTAACCACAAAACGTTAAAAAAAGGCCCCTTTAAGCTTTCAGTTTTTTATTTTTTTTAATTAATTTCATATTACATTCTCCCTTGCTTCTTTTTCTGCATATTACTTCACAATCATTCATTTTTAACACGAATCGTTGCGTTCGTTTTTTCTAGAGACAATACTAAAATTCAGAGATCAGCGGAAACCGTTCTGGAATAGACGCAGATTTAATTTACATTCACAGCATTAAATTCTTAGTACTTGAAAGTGATATCGCACAGTCCACGTGTCATCGACAATTAAGAAATTTTCAAGTCATGGATGTCCATAGGTCTTTGTTGTCACTGAAAGTGCGGGCACATTTATTGGAGTCGTTGATTGTTTATTTAGATCCTCAAAGAATTACATCGTCATCGTAAATACTGAACTTGATAAGATCTTCGGGCACCTATGTGTCTTGATGCGGAGGCACCTTAAACCTTGGCGAACAACGATCAACTCTTTATTTTAGATCTTCAAGGAATTACATCGTCATGGTTATGTCCTGAACTTCATAACATGGCCGGGCACTTTTGTATCTTGATTCTGAGGCACCTTGAACCTTGGCGAACAATGATCAATTCTTTATTTTAGATCTTCAAAGAATTACATCGTCGTGGTTATGTCCTGAACTTCATAAAATGGCCGGGCACTTTTGTATCTTGATGCGAGGCACCTTGAAACTTGGCGAACAATGATGAACTCTTTATTTTAGACCTTTAAATAATTACATCGTCATGGTGATGTACTAATTGCCATAAGGTGGCCGGGCACCTTTATCTT